AACACAGTAGCCATTGGCTGCTTGGCTACCCACTGCAACTCCTTGTTCCGACACTCATGCTTGTTAATCGTTATTTTCGGTTGTGATCACAAACTTGCCACGCTCGTCATTTGCCTCCTCTTGAAAGCCCACAAGTAATAGGACAGCAACATATTTGGACCCAATTTGTGAGCCAGAGTTTTAGGGCAATGCTCAAACCCATTACAGAATTTTGGCTCTCTTTTAAGGTTTTAAATACACAAGTTGGTATGAAGATACGAACGGGGTAATCAAGCTTTTCTTACAAATTTGAACTTTACTGACAAATAAGATTCATTACTTTATGAATCAGTTTGTAATATTTGATTTAACAGAATATAGATTTTATCTCATTAGTTTGTTAGTAAAATTGCACGTGACTAATTTTAATTTTTTAATTATAGTATCAACTACTAAATATTCTGAATTTAATTTTTTTATTATAAGGAAAAAATCTGAACTTGGGGTCTATCACCATCTCCAACTTCTAAGTCATCTCCTTTTACAGGGTGTTTGGAATACATCAAAACTCTTTTTATTTCTTTTTGTTCTTTATTTGAAAATTTAGACGACTAGAAACATATGATTTATACAATTTTAAGGAAAATAAACACAATACGGTTTAAAGGTCAACAAAAAAGGTTGAAATTATATTAAATATGATCAAGGTAACTTCCTCTATCCTTCTTTTGTTGCTTTCAACACCAGAAGGAAGTTTCGGATGCATCACAGTCCAACTTTACAAACTAAAGAAAATCTTAGAAATGTATAGTCAAACAAGTGAACCTTTTTTTCCTTGGTTTTTAGTGTAGATATAGAAATAAATCCAACTGGGAGACAGAGATAAAGAAATTTTTGAGAGCTTAATCTGCTAAACATGGAAGAATTGAAGTTGCTAGGAGGTTGGCCTAGCATATTTGTTTACAGAGTTATCTGGGCGCTGAACCTCAAGGGAGTGGATTATGAATATGTAGAAGAGGACATGCACAACAAAAGTGAGTTGCTTCTTAGGAGCAACCCTGTTCATAAAAAGATTCCGGTGTTGATTCACAGGGGAAATCCAGTATCAGAATCCATTGTTATTCTTCAGTACATTGAAGAAACATGGAGACAACATCCGTTGATGCCGGATAAACCTTCCGAAAGAGCAACAGCTCGGTTCTGGATGAAGTTCCAAGAAGACAAGGTAATTTCATTGCTGCTAATTTTATGTATTAATTCTTCTATCATAACTTCACTTGGATTTTCCTACGTGTAAAGATTCAGTGCTAATTTCAGGTAATTTTTTTTTTCTTGATTAATTATTGAATCTTTATGCTGCCAAGACTGCTTGAGTGAAATTTAGGTTCCATTATTGCATAGAAATCACATCTTTGTTTGATGTTCAACCACGTAGATTAGAGTGTTCTATGCATTCTTTCAAGCCATTGGAGAAGAACAAGAGAAGGCAACAGAAGAGGCCAAGGAATTATTGAAGACAATAGAAGAGCATGGCCTGGGTGATAAGAAATTTTTTGGGGGTGAAGAGATTGGACTGACTGACTTGGTATTTGGATGGATAGCTGGGTGGCTTCACCCCATGGAAGAAGCTGTTGGTGTTCAACTGCTAGAAGCTGAGAAATTCCCACGCTTATGCACTTGGATTCGGAATTTTAAGCAAGTTCCCATCATCAAAAACAACCTGCCTGAACATGATAGATTGCTGATCTATTTCAAACAGCTGAGGAAGATGTTCATTGAAGCTACAATATCACATAAAAAGTGAGAATTTAGGCTTTCTACAGACATCTCTCTTCTGTTCTCTTCAGGTTTTCTTTTTGACTTCTGTAATTCCAGATTTCTACATTTATGATGTTATGTAAGTCGTGATCAAGTCTAGCTACATATCTCTTTCTGCTTATAAACAGTCCACAGTAGTACATAATAGGGCTCACAACAAATCAACCGTATTCACAAGTTGTTCGAATTCAGCTCAATCAGACTTGGTACCTGTTCAGTCAAAATCTATTTCAATCACAATATGGCTGCAGTACTACAAGGGTTATCAGGATATAGCCAAATCTGTTACTGAATGTTCACAAGCAATCTCCAGTAACACTTGGAACAGGACAAAATTTGTCATCCGGTAAGGATGTTTTCTTTCCTATTTTGTTTCTCAAATTGCATGTCTTTTCCTCGGTCTTTTCCTTTTCTCTGCCAGTAAAATTTTGGTTTTACTGGTATTTACCCAAGTCAACATAGATTCTTACTCATTTCCTCTTAAATTCTTAAAAGAGATAAGGAGCCATACTATGTTGATGAGCCTCATAAGAAAGAAAGTGAAATTGCATTCTTCTAGGAACCAACAGCTAGAATATCTTGCAGGCTATTTTCAGTCTTTGACATGGATTATGCCGGAATCACACTGTACGTATAATTGAAAGTATTAGAAGAAAAGTAAGCTTAAAAAACAGACTGAAAGCAGATCAAAAGATTGGCTGAGAAACAGCACCAATAAAATCTCTCAGTGCTTCTAATGATGTCTATTAGCTTCCTGCCCTTATTAATCATCACCGGATCCACTAATCCAGAGAGTGTTTTGGTGCGAGCAAATTCAAGATTCCAGTAAACTTATTGTAATAACGAAGCTGCCCTGTTTAATATATTCATTGACTGGGTTGGTTATTTAGCACTTCAAAATTCTGAAAACATACAAAAGTTGAAGGGAATTTTTTCAGTTGGTTAAGATAGAAGGAAGTTCCAAGGTTTGCAAGGTGATCATGTCCGTCCGTTGAACTAGCTCTGTATATTTTTAGCGTTGGCTTCTGATAACAGTGTTTCAAGTTCACCTTTCCGGTATAGTTTTATAGTATCTGCATCAGAACACGAAGAAAGTCAAACTTTTCAGTTTGAATTCTACCATTTCAGGCCAAGGACTAAAGAAATCAAAGGCCTTTTTTCAGAAACCGAAGGACTAAAGAAAGCATTTATAATGGGGCAAAAAGAGGTTGGAATTTATGATTTGATGAGTTTGAAGGAAGAGAAGAACAGCTTGTGTCAGGAAATAAAAACAGAAAAAGCATTTCTTTTAAACTGAACAGCATTTGTTTTCACTAAAAAAATTGTTAAAAACAACTACATAATAGAATTTTAATATGTCATTACAACAATGCAGAAAATTAAGGATAGATAGGATGAATAACTTCATGGTGGCACTGGCGCATAAAACATCAAGAGAAAAAGAGGAAAGAATGTTATACCTGTACAACCACCAATGTGTTTGCCCCCTGGTAATGGAGAGAAAAGAAACATTCAGCATTTCTATCCTCTAAGAGCTCTGAATAAAACAAGGGTCCTAGCAGCTACGTGCTCAAGCAGCAAAACACTGTAATATCTCTTGTCTAGTACTAGTAAGCATAGATGTGTTTGTGCATTTCGGTGTGAATAGACAAGCCAAGCTTGAAGGAACCTAGTAAAAAAATCTCAAACATCCCATCTTCTGTACAATATATCATGACAAACTGGGTCAATGTTATAAAAGCAGAAGTACATAGCAGAATAACCACATACCAATAAAAACATTTGGAACAGTGTGCTGTCCAGTCAGCCTCTCCAGCACCTTCTGCAGTTGTGGCCCTTGGGCACCTGAAGGAGAAAAGAAGCCTAAGTAAATGGAGAACACAGTTTTTCAATCTTTTCTCGGCATGCACATGCATGATTTGATCAATGGAAAAACAAACTCATACTAATAAAATTGCATACTCAGGCATGCTTTGTTATAAGAAAGTTATAAACTACAAGCGTTATATGTGAGTGTTTGTGTGCCAATTCAATTATTTTACTTGGTTATTTATTTACAAGGATGGGCATTGAAGAAATTTAATTCTATATATTGGACTCTTAATTGGCAGGAAATCCATATTTTTCCTCCTATAAACATAGCTTGTAGCTTTATAACTTCAAAAGGATAAAAACTTCTTAAGATTCAAGTCTCCATTCATTATACACCCTAGAGAAAATATGACAACTACTTCAAAGAAGAGAATATACTACTATCTCATAAATTTTTTTATTATTTATCGTGCTACATATATATAAAAAAAGGAATGTTCAAGACCTTGGTTTCTCGTCTTCAAAAATGTTCATTCCAACTTGCATGCAAGATGTTGTAAAAAGTATTGACTTCTGTGTCTATATTAAAGTTGGAAAAGAAAAAGTAAAGAATCAGACTGTAATACTCTTTTTCTGTGAGATAAAGTAATGGCATGTTAAACAAAGGTAGCCAGTGTTATTAAAACTTAGATCTGTTTTATTTTTCTAGCATTAGTAAGAATCTTAGACCATGTTTAATATCTAAAACATTTTTTGGTTCTTATTTGCTAAAGTTCATGCATTTATGCATAAAAGCCTTTGTGGTGCTTGAAAATGAAAATATTGTTAAAAAACGAAAATGAGAATGTCACCTAAGTTTAACAAGAAGTGAATAAAAGGAGTTTAAAAGGAAGAAAAAACTTTGTCTAATACTTTCTAAAAACAAATATTTATTTATTCTTCATTACTATTTTAAATGCATATCATGATACATGTTTCTACGTATAAACATACTTGAATCTAGAAAAAAAAGCTAAAAAATATTTTACATACCAAATTAAGCCTTGATGTAAGGTCCAGGGCTTATGCACCACTAGTCCAATAAATTTTCAAATACAAATTATTAGACTTTAAAAGTTCCAACTATTATTTATAGTGAGTAATTTGAATTCTTAAATAATGGATTGAGCAAAACTCAACCCATACCAACCTGTTGCCATCCCTAATCCCCACCACTCAGATCTTGATGTCCTTATTAAGATCATACACATTACAACTACAAATTACAATCAAAGGTTACCTAGGTTTAAGATTGCACTAACATAGAGTCATTATAGTGTCACGTGCTTTGGTACTTTTCATAATGCTCTTAACTTAAACACCACGGACGTAACAACTTTTCAGGTTCAAACCTTCGTATTCAAAAGCACAGCTATCAAGTTATTGATAGTAATTGACTTAAAAGCTTAAATTGAGCCCAAAAATTACATTTTGGTATGAGATTGGGGATATCAGACTTACCATTTGAGAGCATTATGTGCAAGAAATCAAACAATATAATTATAATGGATGCTACTTGCCATTACAGAATTAACACTAAACATGCTCTCATCCTAATCAAGCTATCTCAATCTGCAAGTTCATAAAAAGATCATTAATATCATGAGGAATGAAATTGTATTTGAATAACCTTTATACTCAAAAGAAATTTGGATTATAACTATTTCAGCTTTCAGAGTGCATCTCTTTTCTTTTTTGATAGAAAAAGTTTTTCTCTTTTCATTAAACCAAAATATCCTTTACACTCACAGAAATCCACATCCTAATTACTTAAGAGTGTATGATCTTTCACCAAACTGAAATCCAACCTTTCAGTTGAATTGGTCTGATAGAATTCAGTGGATTTCTCAATGTCTGTAAGTCCAACTTATAGTTAATGCTATACAAACTCAGCAGTCAGCATGGAAAGTAGTAATAAAAAAAAAGATATATAAGTAAACTGTATTAATATCATAACAAAAATAATTGAATGTAAATCCCTTTTTCTCCATTTATCAGAAAACCAAAGAAAATACCAATTTGCAATTCCTCAGTGAAGACACAGCAGGACCACAAAAATATTCTCTAAATGATTATAATATTGTGCAATGTTTCATCCGAGTGTGTTTTAGATGACCTATGCAAAATGTGGCCTTATGTTTCCAGTGCACATATAATGTGGTATAAGAGTGAAAAACATTTCTGTGCCTTTTACCACCCCAAACCCATCAACCCTCCCCCAGTTAATATCCCTTTTTTTGAAATAAAAGAAGAAAGTATATCCCTTAACTAAATAGCAAGAATAGAATAAAGAAAGAGTTCCTAAATAGCAAGAATAGAATAAGAACAGAAATTCTATGTCATTCATTACTATTAACATACAGGTATATTACTCCTCAAATACAAGTATCAAGTTTCAGTATCCCCCTACTCATGAACTTTGAAGGAATTTTTGGCTGCATAGGCTACTTCTATCTTCTATCTCCCTAAGGTCTAATGCAAATGGTAGGAGCCCTACCATGATGGCCATAGAAAAGAGGTTAGGCTCTTTATCCCACTCTAAAAAGGTAACAGGCGACGCTCCTCTGACCGGACCCAATGCTACTACTACTATCTATGAATAAGAGGTCTTAATTATTTCATTTATATCAGAAAGAAGAATAGGTGACTCCACTAGATTAGCAACCAGATGAATGGTTCTATACAGCAACATGGCACTCTTTTGAACTAGTCAATACTTTTCCAAGATAGTAATCTAAATCGGCAGATTGGTTGAGTAGAATAGTCACAGAAAAGCCTTCATTTTTTACAGCAAATCGAGCAGTCTTACTAGGACCCAGGGATGTCACAGGAAAGAATAGACTTTACATGGAACACTGATTTCAGCTTTGATTCCCATATAATTGACATTATTGACAAATCAGTCAAAAAATAGGCAGGATGGGGCAGATCAATTTCCTCAATCAACTATAGTCAATTTCTTACATCAAGAGTCCTCAATTAACAATATTTAATGTCATGCATCAGAACCCACACGGTATAGAGGATTACAGCCATTGGTTTACCGCAAGAGACATGAAGGGTGAAAAATATATTATCTTCATATAATAGTGTCATTAATTTTCCAATAAACTGGATGCTTCCTTCTATAACCAATAGAATAAAGGACATTGCTAATGCACCAATCAGGACTCAATAGGCAAGTCCAGTTATCTTACCTTATTATTCATATGCGGGTTGTCAGAGTTCTTGTCTACACCTAAAAGCACATATAGAGGAAATATGACATATTTTTAAAAATAAATAAATAAATAAAAAGTATGAAATGTAGTATTAATACAAACACCGAGAGAGTGCCAACCCATGTACAAAAAAATTTACATATTTATCAACTTATCAATAAGATTCCTTAAATCCTCAATGGACTGTAAAGAATGACCCAATAATAAAAAACCAAGGTTTTGAAACCATTTATTTTTAAGTAAATCAAACTCATTCACATCATCAATCCCATCAAAAACTCTTTTGTTCCTCTCCTTCCACACTACCCAAAAGATGGTAACTAGTATTAAATCCACCTTCTTCCGTTCCATGATGCCTCTTCACGCCTAAATCTCATCTCTTACCGATCCAACCATCACCTAACTGATGCATAATACCTCATAAACCATAGTTCAAAGCTTGCACACCTCCGAACACCAGAGCAATACATGGTTACAGTTCTCCTCTGCCATCTTGCAAAGATAACAAGCATTCATCAAAATCTTGCCCCATCTTCTCAGCATGTCAATTGTTAGAATATATTTCCTGCTAGCCTCCCACACAAAAATCGAGACACGGGGTGGAACTCTTACCTTCCATATTTGTCTGTCCGGGAACCTAACATCATTTCCATCATGCTTGAACAACTGTTTATAGAATGATTAACCAAAAAGGACCTGTTCTTAGTAAGGTTCCACTGAAGGCTATCATTACTACCATCCAAAGTCACAAGAAAAAGAGTGCTTAACAGCTTCTCATATTCGCTTCACTCCCAATCATTCAAATTTCTCGAAACAAAAACTTGTCATTCCTTCTCCCCCCCCACTTCCATGAAAGAGTCATAGATCTTTACATCTTTATGTTGAGAAATGGTGATGATCTAAGGATACTGATCCTTAAGAGTACCTCCTTCTATCTGCTGATCCTCCCAAAATTTGACTCTATCCCCTATGCCAACCTTCCACTTAACGTATGCCTGGAACTTTCCTAGACCTACCCCGATCTTTACTCATAGACTTTTCCTATAAGATCTTGACCTCATTCTAGTAAACCATCCCCTCCTTTGAATACCAAATTTAGCTGCAATGATCCTTCTCCGAAACGCTCCCTCCTCTTCCATAAACTTCCACAACTACTTACCTTGTAACACCTCATTCATTTCCACCAAAGACCATAAACATAAAACACCAAATGATAGTGGTTTCTTGAAGTCATTCCATGCCACCAAATGATATATTCTTCTACCCTCCGCATCACCCAGAGGTACCTGCTTTGGATGGTTTCCAATTTCACCGAAATTGTCAAACGAGACATATAGTATTTAGGCAAGTTACCTAGTGTACTTTTCATGAGCGTGAGTCTTTCTCTTGTTAAAAAGAGGGCTCGCTTTCACCCTGCAAGTCTCTACTCAAAGCTATCCATCACCGAGTTCCACATCTTCACGTACTTAAAATTTGCACCCAGAGGTAAACCCAAATATCTAACAGGTAAACTGACAATTTTGCAACCCAAAGGCTAAACCATCTGAGTCTCTCTAACTTTCCAATCTCACCATCTTTGATTCGGGAAAGTTGATACTGAGTCTTGACACCGCTTGGAAACCCATCAGGACAAACTTGAGATTAAGCGTGGTTCCTCTATCCAGCTCACAAAAAAGCATACCGTCATTAGTAAAGAATAAATGAGTTACCTCCTCAACATGATCCTCCACTCCCACATTATGCCTCTGAACAAATCTCGTTCCCTGTCTCTTATCAGCATTTTATTTAGAGCTTCTATGATCATAATGAAGAGCATAAAAGATAGTGTAGCCTTAATCCTCTAGAAGCTCGAAAAAAAAGATGACGAACCTCCATTAATTAACAATAATCGCAAAAAATACTGTAGTAATAATCATGAGCATATAGTCCATGAAACTCCAGTTTACATGATCATACGTCTTTTCCATATGAAGCTTGCAAAGTACCCCTTCCCTCTTCACATGCACCAATTCATCAATTACTTCATTCGCAATCAAAGCAGCATCAAGTATTTGCCTTCCACCCATAAAAGCATGCTAACATTCTCCAATCACTTGGTCTATGGTCTTTATCCTTCTCCTCGTGAGAACCTTAGCTATTAACTTATATATACACCCAACTAGGCTTATGGCCTAAACTCCTTAATGTTGCGCGTCCCTCCAACCTTAGCAATAAGCACCAAAAAGGATGAAATGAGACTTTACGAAAGACCCAGCTTAGTGTAACTCCTGAAATAGGTCTATAATATCCCTCTTCATTAAGTGCCAAAACTCTTGCAGAAAACCCATATTAAAACCATCCAAACCCGGTGTCTTATCTCTTTTGCATGTCTTTAGACTTTCAAGGAAATATGACATATATATTAGACGGAATTTATGTCTATGTGATTTTTTTAGATGAATAATCAGAATGATAATATAAGCTGTGTTGCATAAATACTACATGGAGAAAAAGTGCCCCTAAGAGGTCAGAGAATCTCCACAGGTAGCACATCTTATGTGCTAACTATATTTCATTGCCAAATCACGTTTCTACTTTTACCTCATCTTTTCCTAGCACAAAGAGATTACTGGTCTCACCAGAAATGACTCTGTAGTATTTATTGAAAATCGAACTAGAGAACTTTCAACTCTTGTTTAAGATCATCCATCCAAAAAACCAATCGATTTTCCAGGGAAATGCATGGCCTAAAGAAAATTGAGATCACTGTAGTGAATCCAAAGACAGTGAATGATTAATTTATTTTACCCCTCAAACAAATATCGATGAACTATATCCACGATCAAACAGATATATAAACAAAAAGAATTGAAAGCGAATAGACACACCCAGTTCGTCCAATTCAATAACCAGTGGCTCCACGCCAAGTCTTTTGAACAATATCTTCACCTCGGAGGAATACCTTCATAAAAAAAAGCGAAGACACAAACCCATATTCAGCTTTATACACAGATATAATTGGTCACCATTAAGCCAAAAGGGAAATTTCAGCATAACGAAAGAAGTTGATGAAATTTGAACTCACGAGCACCAAGTTTTGGAGTAAACAACAACTGTATTATCAGCCACAGTCTTCTTAACGCTCTCCTCAAGCCTGGAGCCGAACGAAGAGGGAGCCATGGCCTGAATCGAAATCAGTTTCTTTCGTTCGCCGGAGCCATTGATGCCAACACACGTGCCGTGGATTGTTCTGGGTGAAGCGTGCTTGTTACGTATAGGAAGAAAATTACTTGGGGTGTGAAGGAGAGAAGAAGAAAAGGAAATTGAACGAGGAGGATCCACAGAAACAGAAGAGAAATTGGACAGATGAGATGCAACTGCCATGGTGTTCAGCTCTTTCTTCTTCTACAGCTCTTGACGCCTTTTTCGTTGGTTGCTCTAATTCCTTTTTTGTCAGTTTTTCTCGTGCAATATCATTTATCAATTTTTTTTTTTTTTTCAAAAAGGAAATCCATTTTCTATATTAAATTTTTTATTTGAAGAAATTATTTTTGTATGAATAAGCAACCAATAAATAAAATGTGACTTTTGTTAAATGATTAATAAAAATTTGATCTCGATTAGTGCATCTATAAAAAAATTATGACACTTTAATTTTATATTAGCAGAATATGTACTTGCTAAACTTTTATATAAAGTTTTAGATTACAAATTATTAGTAATTTAAATTAAAATTTTGAATAAAAAAATTATAACATCTTACATCCCGCATTTGTAACACTATATATAGTTTTTGTCTAGATGTCTTAAAAGCATAAACAGTTAATATTTTTAAATAACAGACGAAACTAATTATTTATAATTTTACAAATAATATTAAAATTAATATCATATTATGTGTGAGTTTTATTTAAATCTGATTTAATTTCACATTTACTTGTATATGTTTGTGATTATAAGAATTCAACTTCTTTAATAAGATAAGTTTTTAATACTCTACATCATACGTCTGTAATATCATAGAATAAAATATGATATACATTTATACTTTAAAAATTATAAAAATGTCAACGACTACTATTTTTTAAAGATTGGTTAAGGTTGTGATGAACTTGTAATTTCATAAATGATATAAAAGTATGTGTTATCTCAATTATTTTGAACTAGTACAATTTTAGATCTTTTAAATTTTTGTTCGTTATTATAATTTGTAATTTTAATAAAGACATTAACTCGTTTTTTGATAATTAATCTCATATCTAAAATATATATAATTTTTGTAATATATAGAAGTATTCCTGTAATATATTACTAATGATTTGAATGTATTTCACCTATATTCATCCAATATATTAAAGTATATTAAGACGAACCGTGATAAATAATAAAATTTTTCTGTCTCATTATTATCATATTTCTAATTTTTTTAGTGTTTATAATCTCTTTAATATATTAAAATTTATTAATTTTTTAAAAAAAACATAAAGAGTTATTGAATTATTTAGTAACATAAACTTATAAGTTAAATTAATTTATTTAAATATATTATAAATATTTAGCTTATACATTAATAGTTTGTTAAAATGATAAAACATTTTATTATATTTTGGACATTGTACACCTAAATTTATTTATTTTTTATAAAAAAAATGTAAGGGCATTAAAGACAATTACTTTATCAATGTTACAAATTTTAGAGAGTTTATAATCTCTCTAATATTAAAGTTAGCATAAGACGATTTTATAATTTTGTAAGTACGTATTTATGAAAATATTAATTGTGTTAAAACTAAAATGAATATTATAATATAGATCATTAAACATTTAAAATAAATATAATTCATTTTATTTATTTTATTCTTGCATTAAGTTCATAAGTTATAGAGTAGATGATACATAATCCAAGTCATATGAAAATTGGTCAAGTATTTAGAGTGTTAATCAACTTCTTCTTTGTCCTGCCACCATTAATTTATTAAATTGTTATTTAAATTTAATTAAGGAATGGGATAAACTAATTATAATACAAATAACCAAATTAATTAATAATATTATTTAGAAGTTTTTAAATTTCTTTTACTTTGTGATTTTTAAGAATTTAACCATGTTTATCTTTTTTTTTTAAAAAAATTGAATTCAACGTGTTTAAATTGTTGCTACATGTTTCTTTTTATTTATTATTATTATAAAGTTTTTCAAAGTTGTACACGACCATTATTTTTCAGTACTATAATTAGTACTTTCCTTTTTAATTGTACATGAATTAAATTATATTAATGTTTTGTAAATAGAAAAAAGATAATTACAAATTAAGTATTTAAATATATTTTCTGCTCTATCTAAATAAATACGTGTTTAAAAATTCCACTGAAATTAAAATAATATAAACATATAATTTCATGTGCATCAAAGCAGTAAACTAGAAAGAAGAAATTGGACTTTTGACAAAATCCCTGAACCTCAAATTAATGCTGCTCAAGGCCCAAATAGGAAGGACCTTGGCACAGGCCTAAATTCTGAAGGTCCAAAAACTTTATACGAAATTATATTATAAACTTTATTCTCCATTTTTTTTAATAGACTAAAAAATTAGGGTGGATACAATTAAAAATTACATTCTTTTACACTTTTTTTTGCACATAATTTCCGTAAGAATAATGATTAAATTAAATTTTCTAAATTATAAAATTGTAACTTATTAAAAAATATATATTAATTTACACACGAATTTTCTTACTCAGTTCATCAATAAATAAAATGAAATTTCGTTATATGTTTGTTAACAATAATATTTATGTTCATTCACCGATTCTAAACCAGATCGGGCAAATGGGTTATTTAATTGGTAAAAAAATCAAATTGAATATTTGTGTATCTTTTTCAAATTAATTTCTTAATGTTTATCCTTTTAGAAAAATTAATATATTTTATTAATTAATTAATTAATATACATATATAGATTAATAATAATATAATTTTTTCAATGGGAACATATGTATATACAATTCTGAGTGAATTTTTAATCTCTTATAAAGTGAAGAAAACACCTAATCCTCGATTATATGAATAATTAGTGATAGAAATTTTATATCCATTGATTACTCATTAATCAAGAAAATACATTGATGCATTGATGAACTGAGTTTTGGTCATTTTCCATTCATTTCTGCTCGTTATCAACAATCTCAAAAGATTTATGAATAAGCAGCAGTTGTATATATGCATTGCATATATATATATATTGGTATGATAAGATTGATAATACGCAGAAAAGTTTAAGAAAACCTATATTGATATGATAAGATTGATAATAAGCAGAAAAAGTTTAAGAAAACTTAATCATTGTTAGGTCCTCTCTCTTGTTTCTATTAGAGATTGATTATATGTGATTCGTTTGCTATATATACATATACAAACATGATGGAGACTTGACAATGAGTAGGAGAAAATTTATCCAAATATCACATGAACAAGTATGTCCGGATGTCACGAAGATCATGACGAGAAAGTCTCTGATGAAATCTATAATTGCCGAGTGACTACTGCCTGAGATGAAGAACGCTCTTCCACCATGGCATTTTTTGGAGTTGCATACATTAATATATATATATATATATACGTATAATGTGTGTGTGTGTGTGTGTGTGTGTGTGTATATATACACAAAATCTAGTTCAACTTCTGGTATATGGGTTCCATGTCCTCTAGCCTTTGTGTAGATTATAAGAACAGGTGGGCTCTGTCAAGTTGGCATATGTCAGTTTGGAGTAATGGGTGTTTCAAAGCTTGCCTAACCAAGAACAAACACACACAAACACACCATTCATGATCTCAAGTACTTTCTAGTTTAGATTCCTGTAAAGGATATTGCAGACTAAAACTTCTCAGGGAGTTTTATTTGAAAAATCTGAAAATTAGTTATTATAATCTTCGGCTGTATAAAAGAAGTAATGTTAACTGATGCAAGAAAAGTTTAGTAAAAATTATCAACTACATTAAGAAAATTTTCTCAATTCTCACTAATAAATTTTAATATATATTGGACTAGAGTACTCGTATTCTAAGACGATAATTTGAGTAGTTTGCGACATTTTTGAATCTAGGCGGGTTAAATAATTTTAAACTTTTCAAATCATTTGAATTATATGAAACCATAAATCAGTTTGACTGAATTCTATTTTATTTTATTGTCATTTTAGCATTCTCTTTGAATTTTTTAGATATTACAATCAAAACCCATCTTTAATTTAAGTGAGTTTAAATAATTTCAGATATTTTTTTTAAATCGTTCTTAATTATTTTAAAAAACATAAACTGACTAAAATATGAGTCAAGTTGAACAGATATTAAATTTTTAAATACAAATCTAACTTAATAATATTATATTTCAAATATGATTCGACTAATATATAAATTTAAAATTTGATAAAAAAAAATAATAATGATAACGTTTGTAGTACTGTTTGGATTCATCAAGTCTAAACTTATTTGTATTGATTATTCTAATAAATCGTCGAATGTATTTTATTTTAAAATTTCTTGCGTTTGAAACGTGATCTTTTCTGCAATTTGACATTATGGTAAATTATTGAAATTATATTATTTGTTAGAATTCTTCGAACGAATACTTCTACATTTTATCTAAGATTTGATTGGTCAAAAAAAGAGTTCAGTCTTTGATCTTTCTCTTTCTGTCTTGAGCATTTATTAGAGAACATTGAGTCTTAATTTCCATAAAAGAAACAATCGTAAGTGGAAGATTGTTGAATGTAGATGTAGACATAGCATGTGAAAGAACAAAGTCTGCTGAGCAGAGTTATGGTACTATAAGTATATGTACATATATATGTATGTAGAAGAAGAACAAGATGGACCCTAACATTGGGAAGTTGGCAAGAGAAAAAGGACACAATCCCATGTGTGTCATTTACTTTGATGTTCCAAACACAAGTAGAAAAAGGACATAATAAAAGTGATGAGGCCATGGGATTTCAGTTTGAAGGAAAATAAAAACTTGAGATGTTGAAATGGAGGGAGCAGTTTTAAATGAAATAATAAAAAAAAGGTGTATATATAGATAGGGCAAAATAGGGAGGGGAGATGGGTGTAATGTGGGCTGTTGTCTAAGTTGTAGAAACTGTCTGGGAGAGTTAATATGGTAAGACCCCATGATGCCTATAAAGTTCAAAACCTTGAACTGACTGGACGGACATTCATTGTGGGATTCATTTCTTTCTACTTTTTCTTCTCCATTTTTAAAGCCCAAGTGCCAAACTTGTTCAACAAGCACTATCATTTTATTTCACATATTCACTTATACATACATATATATAATACTCAGTATACATATATATAACTCTGTTGTTTGAGTTGTCACTGTAATCTCATTAAAGTGTGAATAAGTCAACCAACTCACAAAAAAAAAAAAATATATATATATATATATATATAATATAATCTTAAAAATACATTAAAATTTAAAACAATAAATGTAATAATTCAATCACTATGTTATTTGAATAATTGAAAAGTATGACACTTTAATTAAAAGAATATAATTATTATGAAATGCTCATTTCGTAAAATTTATAATAGTTGATTAGATTATATTTAATTTAATCACTATATAATTTCACTTACATAATAATAAATTGAACGTTAAATATATTGAATTAAATATTGTAATGTGATTATTATTAACTCATAATACATTCACAAAAATTAAACCTTTCTGGAAACTAGGAAGAAACAAATTCTTTTACTAAAATTTGTACGGAAGTTTAGAGCATAAAAAACAAACAATTGATATATATCAATAATATTTTTAAAAAAATTAAAATAATAATTAAATTATCTAATAATTTAAAATTTTTGAACTATTTAATAATATCAACTGTTTTCTTTAAAATATGTTCTTATACGAAATATATTCAAATATTAAAAATAAATACTTGTATTTTCAAAACCTAAAATGATCCAAAAAAACAAAAAGATGTCGCATAATAAATTATCGCATTAGTCTCGTGCATTTAAAATGTCTTTAGGTCGAATTTGGATAGCGTCATTTAAACCATTTAATTGCTAGCCCATATTTTAAATAAAGGTCTTCCGTTTGAGTTTGGGATTGTGGAATTTTATCTGGGAGAAAATATTAATATTTTAAAATAAGTAAACGGAAAAGCAAAACGGTGTCGTGGTGTAGTTGGTTATCACGTCAGTCTAACACACTGAAGGTCTCCGGTTCGAGTCCGGGCGACGCCAAAATACCTCTAAACTTTTTTCTTCCTTTTCTTCAAGCAGTGGTTAATTTGACCAGCTTATGTTTTACGGGGCTGGGCCATTATCAACGTATTGTAAGCTACATTTTAAATCTAATTAATAAACAGGTAGGTTTGAGTCATGCAAATTATATATATATATATATATATATACGTATATGCTTTACAGGGAAGATTTTACGTTTGATATTGCCAATCATGAGGGCTTTTATATCCATGTGCAAAGGAATCAGACCTCCCCTAGAATCAAAACCCTAACTTTATACCAGTAAGTTGGTCAAACAACAAGATAATAATGTTTAAAGGAATAGTAATGATGAGTAACCCATTTCCTCCATTTTTTTTGCATAATCTCTCAAAATTATTATGCGTAATCTACGTTCACTTAATGTGTTTATATTATCTTAATTTGGTTAAGAGAAGATATTTAGATATAATTAATTTAAATTAATTTTTTTTTTTTTTTTTTCATTTTGTAGTTTCTATCTTGAAATTGGAGACAAATAAGGTGGTGGGTGTGGTGGAGCTGGGTTGGATTGTCATTGTATCGAAGATGGGCCCCGCTCATCTGATCATAGATGTTTGTTGGCAAGTTGCAAATCTCAAACATTGAATTAGTGGGGACTAATTTTTTTTGGAATTTTCTTTTCTTTCGATTGGCTTCCCCCATTGCCAATTGGTAAATTTTTTACATAGCTTATATGGTACTTCAATGAATTTTGACACTGAAGTCTTCAGAAAAACTAGTTTCCTCATGGGGAGATTGGGATTTTTTATTTCCTCTTCTGGGTTTGATCCATCATAAGTTCTCGTAATCGCAAAGTTTTTAGTTGGCATGTCATTATTTGTAATAGAAATATCCCAATATAACATTATGTGTAACAAAATACTTTGTGGACTGAAATTTTTCTTGGTCTCAAAGAGTATTTTATCAACTGGGTTGAATTTTAATCTTCATTTTGACTCTTTATGGCGTGCATACGGTTCGGTTCGGATTAGCGAGCTTCTTATACCTTTTTTCTTTAACTACAGAAAAGAGATTTGAAGAATTTTATGGCATACGGTTTGGAAGATGAAGCACACAAGAACTTGAAATAAAAGAAAAATGAGAAGAAAGCTGTGACTTGAATTGAATTGATGATTGTGTGATGAAACTTTGTAAGAAAAAGAAAAAGAAAAAGAAAAAGAAAAGCCTCGTCATCCTCAGTTTTCACAAAATGCCCAAAACAATTCAAAACTTTGGGCCTTTTGGGAGAGGGCTCTGTCTTCTGTGCTATCTGTTTTTCTTTTCTCTTTTTTTTTTTTTTTTTTTTTTTTTTGTTATAGTATACTCTCTACAAATATATATATATATATATAATATTATTTTTTACATAAACTCAAATCTTTTTTTTTTTTTTTTGCTTAATTAACTTATTTAAAACTGCTGCGAAATGCATCGACGATGGCAAGCTGTAGTTCTCTTCTTATGTTGCTTAGTTTCATCTTTCCAGACCTTGCCAATATCTTGTGCAATTCTCATGGCATCTGAAGATGCACCAGACAGCCCTCTCCTTGTGAACCCAACTGCGTATAATCCAGCATTTCCTTTCCACCCATTTGGAAATGATGCTTTTGGGAATCCATTCTTGGAGAAGAATTCACTTTCCTGTTCCAGTTTAACCAATACAACATCAGTCCACTTTCCTTTTTTAGAAATTCTAAAAAAAACACTATAGAAGCTTCTAAAATTTTTTAGAAACTTCTGTTCATTGACGGAAACTTTTTCTCACCTGAAGCCAGGAAGGGACATTGCTGCGGTAACCAGTGGCTAAAACCACTGTGTCGATATAAAGTTTTTCGCCATTGACAAATTCCACTTGATCACGCGTAAACCGCTTGATTCCGGGCACGACTTTGATCTCACCCGATCTGATTTTCTCAAGTGCGCCAATGTCTAACACAGGGGTTTTTCCCTTTGTGTTCTTGAGCTCCATTGGTCCCATCGATGGCTTTTTTAATCCATATTTCTCAACGTTCCCCAAAACCAACCATGCCAGAATCAACAAAAGCTTGTCAACAAGCCATAGCGGAAACCATTTCATCAACATCACAGCCAATTCGAATACTGACTTCCCAAAAACTTCTCTCGGCAAAACATGCACCTGTAATGGGAATCCAAACCAAACCCATATTAGAACTGATCAATTTAACCTCGAACAATGATAATTAAATTCATTTAAGATAGGTGTAATTACTTACCGAGCTACGAACCACCATTGATGGACTGGCATTGTGATTGCAAAGATCAAGAGAGAGTTCCATGCCGGAATTTCCGCAACCCACCACAAGAACTTCCTGTCCTTTGAATTTCTCTCCTGATTTGTATTCGCATGCGTGAATGACTTCTCCCCGGAACTCTGCTAATCCTTCAAGCTCTTCAGGCTTAACAGGCTCTGCATTTTCACCAGTCGCCACCACAAGCCACCGGCATATGTACTCAACCTCAGCCCTGGTTGAGCCGCTAGCGTTCACAGTCTTCACCCGCCATAGCCCACTGGTCTCGTCGTACCTGGCTGACTGCACGCACTCATTGAATTTGGGTTTGATCTCAAACCGCCTTGCGTAGGACTCCAGGTACTCAATGAACTGTCTCTTTGTTGGGTACTCGGGGAAATCTTCGGGAAATGGCATTTTGGGGAGCTGGCAGAATTGCTTAGGCAGGTGAAGCTTCAGCCTGTCATAAGTACGTTTTTGCCATAGAGATGCTATGCACTCTGCTTTCTCCAGCACCTCAAAGGGCACTCCTTGCTCTCTTAGGCAAGCCGCGGCAGCAAGCCCCGACGGCCCGGCACCGACAATCACCGGACCGTTGACCCAAATGCATCTTTTTGAGAAGAAATCTTCATGATCAACAAGACGAAGTAAGGCATCCATTGGTGTTTCTGAGAAAAAGGGTATTTGTATTTGTAGGAATCGAAATCTGGGTTGAGAGTGAAGATCAAAATCAAGTAGATTTGATTAAGAGAATATGGGTATTTGATGCTGTTGTTGTTGTCGTTGTTGAGAATTAGAGATGAGTCTGGTTTGGAGGGGGGAAGAGGGAGAGGATGGGTGGTTAAATAGAGAAGTGTGTGAGGACAAATGGCCAGTTAATGCGGCCTGGACTTGGAGGGTGGCATGATCCTTTTTATTATTATTATTTAATTATATTCTTTATTCTTATAATTTTAGTTTTTTTTTTTTGGTTAATCAGATCTTTATCGCATTATTTTATTCGTAGAGCAAAACTCTTCATTATTAGATGATGTGATGTACTTATATTTTAAATTTATATATATATATGTATCATGGAGATTGGGAAAAGGCAAGTTAAGATTTGACGAGTTTGAGATTCCCCCACATTATTATTGTACATGAATTATAAGATGAAATTCATAGAATCCATAGAAAGTGGTGCATCAAGGGCGAGATCCACAGTATAAAAAGGGGTTTCTTGATCCTGACCATCTATAATTAGTTTTTCCAAACATTAAAGCAGGAGATTAGAGGGAGTATTAGGGAGCACAGAAAGTGACGCATCATCCCGTCTAACTATTTCTTGAGATCGAAATACTAACCATATTATTTTACTTCAACTTAATGTAAATATTTTTTTTATTTTTTAATTTAATTACTTTAAAATTAAATACTTAAATTAATATTTTTATTATATTCATGTTTCTTATTAACTCTTAAATTAATTATTTCGATATTAAAAATGTATTTCAAAAAATAACTCTACACTCAATATATATTTTAACTTTGCACATGTTATTATCGAAACTTTATTTTTTTTTAAAAAAGAAAATTATTTTAAAAAAAAAATAAAAGTATAGTGGTGAATTGGATGTAAACTATTTATAATAATAATAAATAAATAAAATGAGACCGATGTTCATCTGATTCTCCGGGACCCACAGAGGCAGTAAGTGAGATATGAGAAATAAAATGAGAAGCCCACGTGGCAAGAGGGTGCTGACTAGGATATAGCCACGAGGAGTGGACACACATATGGCTCCAAAGCCAGCTTCGAAGGCCCACAAAGCCCATTCCGCCAACCTTCTTCCCTGGCCCCACCTATATAATCCACTTCGCTTTCTATACCTTCCACTACTATCTCTAAATTCTTCGTCCACACATCAAATCAAACCCGATTCTAGTTTCCCAATGATACAGATTGATATCTGTACCTATACATTTATTCATATATACATATATATATTTACTAAATACTAACCTTAATTTTTCTGTAATAAAAATCAAAATTACTGTTTATATTATAATATATTTATATATATCTCTCTACACTACGTATATATGTATGTGTTTTTACGATTACACCTAATTTTGTTACCTACTTTATAAGATTTTAATGTCTTAATATTCAGTTTGAGAGAGTAAATACATTATAAATTCTTTTAATGATCTTGGATTTATTAACCAACGTAAATTTTATACTTTTTTTAATTAATAATTTATGTATTTAATTTATAATATCAAAAAATTAAAAAAATTTTAATAAATTAAATACAGACAAAAAAATATAAATATATATATATATAATTCGCTTAGGAATACATGTTTTACAAAACCAAAAAGATGAAGTGTGCAAACTCTCCACTAAGTCACAACGAAGAAAAAAAGAGTGACAGATTCATCTCCCTTGACGAACATATTATTATCTACTAGTGCATAATTGTTTAATTCATTAATGGAAGGTACAAGTTTTGAAGAAGAATATCGTATTAGTTAAACTAGTTAGCAATCGTTTTGTCAATTTGACACGTGTTTTATGTTAATTTTTTTTATATTTACTGAAAATTTTGTTAATTTAACACGTTAACATATGATAAAACATCTTAATATGGATTAATGTGTACATATATATATATTATATATTGATTAGGACGAGGATGATGATGAGAATGTGAATTTACAAAGGAGTGCGAGTAGGGTTTTTGTGTGTGCATATAAAGAATTTTTTTTTTATAAGGAGAGATGAGTTGGAAAAATGATGGTGTACCCACTTTGAGTAGTGAAAAAAATTCATGGGAAGCATGTGCTCGAGCCCTTGATTTCCATGGAGTCGCTCCTTTTCATAAAAGCAATATTGGTAGCATATTAATTAAAATTTAGCACATATACTTATATATCCTCATATTATCATCAATATTCCAACTTTTTGCATATCTATACGTCTATATATATATATATTATCGTAAATAACTCTATTATTTTTCTGTAATTGCTTATGTATTTATGATGCTAAATTTTATTGCTTGTATTTGATTTTCTCTCTTGTATTTCACAATAGTTATATATAACATATATGTATATATTCATTATAATGATATCACAGATAATATACTATACTACTAATCTTGTAGATTAATATAGTATTAAATATAACAAATTATTCTGATATAGTTTTTCTTCCACTTTTGTTTCAAATCAAATAAGATGGAAGATAAATACGTAAAAAAGAATATTAAAGTAACTTATAATATTCTTGATACATTTGATGAATTCGTAGCTATATGTGTGTGTGTGTGTGTGTGTGTGTGTATATATATAAAGCCGGTAAAAGAAACCTCCAAATACAACATACAAAAGCATATGTACACTTATTAGTGATATCCCATGCATGATTTGATTGAGATATATATATTTTTGTTGTCATTTCAATCCATATCCTTAATATACCAGCCTTGCAGTATGCTCCACATCCAGCTTTGGGATCCAACCATCTATACTTGATATATATATATATATATATATATATATGCAAACTTTCTACCTTTTGGGATAAGAAATTATACAGTATATATAGATTAATGAATTCACTACTTCGTTTTTTTTTTAAAAAAGTAATGCTTATAGTTTAATATATTTTTCATGTTTTCTCTTCTTTTATAGCAAGATCATAGGGCTTTCATAGTACACCTTATCTAGGGTCGGCGGGCACTTGCTAGGAAACTAGCTCATTCTTCGTATTATACATATCCAGAATATGAATATGCATGAAATATATAACTATATATATATATTAAATTATGAAAAAGTTTGTGCTAAATTTACAATAATTAGTTTTGATCACGCGTAAACTAAAGTTCAATAGAAAGTTGAAATCATTGGAATATCACTGGCTTCTCTTAATTTATATATATATATATATATATATATATATATACGTAGAGTTGCAATCGAATTAGCTCATTTGGCCAAGTCCATGAAGTTCAACCACGATAATAGGGTATATATATCGGTTTCTGCAATTGGCGGTGCCATTACTAATTATATATATGATATACAATGAGAATGCAGCTACCTAGCTACTGAGTACTGTTAGTATATTGATTCAATTCCCACCCTACTTTTTGGCTGCTGATCATATACTATATTAGTAATGGATGCTAGCTAGCTCTATTCATTAAAATAAGTTTATATACATATATATATATATATATATAATATGATAGTCACCTAGCCATAAGTTTCTGTGTGTGTATATTTATATATATATATATATATATATCAATTAACATTGACACTTAATTTCATTGGAAATATCTGCTTCTCTCGATTATTGTTGTTTAATTAATTCGTTTCTCATGATAACTAAAAGTTATACTACATGTATACGTAAGAAGTATACATGTAGTCATGAACTTATTATGGTATATAAGTAATTGGCTGAGCAAATAGTGACCATTGATAAAGGGCTTAAAGCTGTATAAATATTAATAGTGACACACACACATGTATATATATATATACATGTGTGTGTGT